GTGGGGGGGGGGGGGGGGGGGGGGGCGGGGCGTTAAGAAGTAAACATCATTGCCGTTTTAATGTTTCTATCTCTCTTTTTGAGAACACCTTTTTTGTATCTTTCTAGAGGATGGTAGTGGTAACCTTGTGTCCTTAAGCACCGGTAGCCAAACCCCCCAAGCGCACCAGCAGCAAGGTCAACACCAAATTGTGGGCCTGGCTCCATCCCCTGTCACACAATTAACAACAACTTCCAACACAGAACCGGTGGAACAGGGAGTTCCATCCTTGGAGCAAATAGAAACCGTTTGGCTTGATCTACGCAGGCTACAGCAGGAAATCACTGAGGTTCGTATTGATTGCCTCACACTTTGCGCGCTTTTATTCTCGGTATATTTTTAATTTTCCATTACCACAAGACCGTATTTTCAATTAAATGGAAGCAGTTTTCACTTTGCATTCGTACAAATCGTTTTCTTTTCACTGAAGTGATGAGTCATCAGGAGTTTTGTCAATCCTCTTTGTTGAGTCCCCCCCCCCCTCCAATCTAAGTATTAGTCATAACCATGTCGACAGTTGTTCGACAGTTGAATGCAGACTTGGTGAGCATTCCTCGTGTTTTTTTTCCATTCTCAGACTTTTCGAGATATAATTCGTTGTTTTAGCCCTCCTATACTGGCCTATCGTGTCATTATTAGTCATCTTAGTGTTCTGGTATCTATTGTAGTCGTGAATGTAAGTACTCCACTAATTTCAAGATCGGTTTCATTCATTTAAAAGAAGAAGGAGTTTTTTGTTGCGTGGTATTGATGCATCAGGAGCGAGAGTATACGGGCCATGGTGTAGCCTGATGTTAACTAGCGCTCTATAACCATAAGCATTGCCCTCCGACCAGCCAAAAGATCGTAGTGTTTGATAACATGAACATACATTGACTATGTTTTACTTTCCAACATGGAATTCAACCCACAATCTCTGTGGGGGGGGGGGGGGGTGAGAGACATTTTCAGCCATTTTTTAATGGGGCTCCTGTTCGAACAACGTGTGCAGCCTTATAATTTATCATTGATTTGTGAAAATATTCCTTCTCCAACCCTTCCCCCCCCCCTCCCCTCCCTCCTGTCCAACATTATGCTGAACTTCCATTCTCCTCTTCTACTCTTACGTTTGTATACTTATTTGCTTATGGATACTTCAATCACTCTTTTTATGCTTCCGTGTTCATAAGTGAGAGATGCCCATTATGTTGAGTCCCCCCCCCCTCCTCCCCTCCCCCATCTAACCCGCTGAATTCTGTCAGTCCATTAAGCGAGGATAGGAAGAGGAAGATGAACAGTGTGCGGCTATATTCAATTTTCGATAATTCGGTGGATATGGGATCAATATGCCATGAAGATGCCTGAGCTCTGAAATAGTCGGCCCTGAGTAGTAGTTGATCGCAGATGGAGGGTACAAAGCATGTTCGTAGATTGGCAATGCTGGGCAGCATTTTATTTAATTTATTTATATCAAACGGCAGCCTTTATGATAGTTATCATTAGCCCTTTAGTTGGCTTCTGGATTCACAAAGGAATGGGGGGGGGGGGACAGAAGAGTGATTTACAGATGTAGAAGAGACGGGCAGACACAAAGGTAGAGAAAAGGTTAGATGAGGTGAGTACTGTGGAAGTGGTCGAATATGCCATACAGTGGGGTCATGGTAGTTTAAAGTCAGAAGTCCACTGCCAGGTAATAGACTTTTGCCGTATGAGTGCACGTTGCCCAGGATGCACCGCATGGAGATAGGTCTATCGCACAGCCCCTGTATTCGACTGATCTGCATTCTGTCAAAACATGTTATCAATTATCTCTTTCGGTGGCCACCATTCGAAGTGGCAGAAAAGTACTTTGGGGCATTCTTTGTTTTACGTACCTCCACTTTGGCGCAGGTAAGTTTTCTTTAACTTACAAATTGCGCTCATGTGACTAAAGGGGATCATTAATTCTTTGAGCATTGCTTTATTCCGAATGCTTCGTCTGTTTTTATTAAGGCATTGAAGTGCTGCATGTTTCCTCCATTATCAAAGAAATAGCGCCTATTCCTTGTGGTTTGTAAAGTTGGAATTGAACTGGGGGTAACTTTCCGCTCTCCCCCGTGTGTGTTCTTGTGTTTTCCTTCCTCCTAGCTCTTATGCCCCCTTGTAGATCGTGAAATCGAACTTAACATTTCACCACTCGTCAAATGAAATCGAATGTATTTATTTATTTATTTATATCAAATGGCAGGCGTTCTGATAGTTATCATTAGCCCTTTAGTTGACTTCAGGCTTCACAGAGGGGAAGGAACATCAAAGTGGGAAAAAGATCGAGAGGGGGGGGGGAACAGAAGAGTGTTTCAAAGAGGAAGGTAGAAAAAAGGTGAGTTGAGTACTGTGAAAGTAGTCGAATGTAACATACAATGGGGTGAGGGTAGTTTGAAGTCAGAAGTCAACTGCCAGTTAATAGACTTTTTTGCCGTATGAATATACGTTGCCCAGGGTGCACCACGTGGAGGTAAGTCTATCGCACACCCCGGACCAGTGAATAGAAAAGCGATTGATATGTAATTAGAAGGATTGAAAACCGTTTGGGGAACACGTTGAGTCACGGCTGTTTCTTGGAAGGCCTGATGACCGTTTCCTTTCTTCCAGATAAATAGAGATAAGTCGATTAAACATGAAAGAATTTTAATTGAGACAAAGAGGGTTGAATGGGGGGGGGGAATTACAGTGGGATCTTCGAGAGACAGTTGAAGGCCAAATGTGGCAGTTCGCATGTGTCATTGAAAATAATGAAAGGACAACGACTCTGACAATCGTAAATGTGTTTATTCCCATCTTCTGACAATTCGACCCGATTCTCTTCGTTGAAGATGGACAAGGCTTCAATGTAGTGAGATTTTGCCTCTTCGAGCATATTCCTCTTTTGTTAGGCATTGGCCAAGTACATGTGGACATTCCCAGTTTTATTTTGTAGCCATGACAACAAAACAAATAAAATCAGGTTTTTTAATGTATTAGAGAGGGTCGTTTTTAAATAAAACTCGAATATTAACTTTAATTCAATCACAAGGTGCCAGTGATCTAATAATAACATTGCGAAATTTCCAAAATATTACTTTCCTTGATTCATATTTAATAAAATACCGATACAATCTTCCTTTTCTAATTATTTTTGAGTCTGAATTGCAAAGTAATTGCTGTCACAGCAGAAAACTCTTAGAAGATAATCTCTGGTTCAATTATTTCAATAAACGACCCGACAACATGAGAGTTGAGTATAGTACTATTAGTGAATAGCT